AGTTCCAAAGAGGATGGAGCTAGACTGTTCTCAGTGGCGGCAAATTACAGAACAAAGAACAAGGATGGTCTCAAGTTGCAGCAAGGGAAGTTTAGGTTAGATATTAGGAAAAACTTTCTCACTAGGAGGGAAGTAAAGCACTAGAGCAGGTTACCCAGAGAGGTGGTGGAAGTTCCATCCTTGGAGATTTTTAAGACCCAGCTACACAAAGCCTTGGCTGGGATGATTTAGCTTTGAGCAGGGGGTTGGACTAGATGGCCTCCTGAGGTCCCTTCCAACCCTAATTTTTTATGATTCTATGATTAATACAATTTCATCATATGGGCAACTCAATGACTACAAATTAGACTGACAATAGAGGTAGAGATCAAATGTGGCTTAGGAAATTCCAGGTACAGAAAAACTTATTTTTGAATAAAGTTTTTGCCTGTGCAAATTTCTCTTGGGCATTCACTTAATTCAGACTTCCATAAATTTAAGTTTTACAGATCACCACACTACCTCCTTTTTTGTACTTTGATCATGAATGCTCATTTCTCGATTAAGCCTTGGAACGTTTTATAACAATTCCAAAGAAATTAGAATGTCAAGGATGTTGTACTTTAGGAAAAACATTACAAAACCAGTCACAGACTACAAATGATCTCTCTAGTAAAATGTGTCTGAACTAGGAAATAGATGTATGTGTGTATCTATGACAAAGATGTTTATGGACAGATATAACCATCCTATATTTACTAGATTTGCATTGCTTCATGAAATAAGTAGAGCCATCTTGTGGACATGTCTAGTAACAGTATGCTTGAATAGGAAGTTCCAATTTTTAACCTCGAGGATGGGATAGTACAAAAAACCCCCAGTTAAAACATTTTTTTAAATCTAGAAGCATAAAGTTCAGATCCTAAATCCATGTTTAGGCATTAACCTGAGTGACCAGATTTTCAGAGCATGTACAGCTTGCAATATCTTTGGGAGTTGTAGATAGTTAGCATCTCTGCAAAACTGAGGCACTCAGTTGTAACTAGCTGTACTGTCTTCTTAAACACTGTCATCCCTTCAGTCAGGGTTGTAAGCATCTAATCTAAGAATTTTTGAACAAGGTATTGTTTGGTAAATAACCTCAAGGGATTATTCACATCAGAACATTGCAACCTATCTCTTGCAACTTTCTAGGTATAATTTGGAAGCCATGGTAACGTTTATGTGGTGTTAATAGTGATATAAGTTATTCTGCTGCAAAAATCTGATCTCGTCCTTACCTGCAAGTTCCAAATACAGTATCTTATTAAGATAGGCAAACATTATTCTCCCAGGCTTACATGAGATGCACTGTGGCCTACTAATTACCTTATATCTCAGAGCTTTGTTTCAAGTACAGTAACAGACCTTTGTAACTGTTACCAAATTACTTAACTGCCTGTTTTTATGACCATGGATCCACACATACTTGTTCTAGGCCAAAGGGACATTTTGGCAGGGAAAAGTAAAGCTTAGTTTTACCAAATTCTGGAATTTCTTTTCAGAGATGAAAAAATAGTCTTTGATCCTGCAAGTACTTGTGATAGGATCAACTTTAAGGCTGTGAGCAGTACCGTCAGCTTCAGTTAAGCCTGCGCATATTGAGGATTGGGCCTCACTAGAATCTTGGTGTCCCTGATTTGATCCTTTTTTCTATAAATCCCTTCCATTTAGATCAGAGGCAAAAGCAACATGCTGGCAAGCTCTGGTCATTAAAGATTTAATGGCACTTATCTTAAGAGAGTATGGATGCTAATCTCAATAGTCTAGCCAGATTCCATATTGAATACTCAAATTCTTCTTACCTGAATCTATTCTGTTGTTTAAAGTGGGCATTCTTTTCTTCATTTCCTGATGTAGCATACAGTTGTGGACTGTAAAAACAGCAGCTGATTTTTCAGTTTAAATGTAGCTGGATTTCAGTGGTCAGTGAAATAATTCCTGTTGTTGACACATAATCAGTTATGTACTTTTAAAAACAATTGCTGCAGAAACTATATAATAGATGTGAGAAATTTAAATTTATACTAGAAACAGCAAATAATACATTCATTTCAAGGTGATAAGGCCTCTGTCCTAATTCTTTGGTAAGTACTGAAAGTCAGTTGAAAGAGATACCTACTGTGGTCCTCATCCTGATCCTTATAATGTGAAACTTCCTGTCCATGGTGCAGTATCAGACCCTTAAATGTTTTGATTTTGATTAATACTCTTCATGGTAATGCACTTTCCTTTCTCTATGAAGGCTAATGCAAGACTCTAAATACTTTCCAAATGTATATTGCAAAGGACATTCATTAAATCGTTTGACATGCAAAGATCTGTCATAAATACAATTGCTTTCCTCTTATCCAGGAACAAAACACCATTGCCAGTTTGGTCTAATTCACTTGGTCTCACCACTAGGAAACAGAGAAACTGTAGCTTCCCTTAAAGTCTTCATATAACAGGTTATAAATAGCATCATCTATTTATATACTGGTGGTGGTGGTGGTGGGGGGGGGAAATCTAAGCCAAAATATGGTGACATGCTGCAGCAGGCTATTACAAAATCCATAGAGGTATTGTACCCAGCATAGTTATTAATCTAATGTTACAGACTTTAACAAAACAAGTAGTCTAATCTCATACTAGTTCTAAAGTATAGTCATCATAATTATGTCACCTATGACATTTGTGTTGAGATTTAGAAACACATTATTGTATTCCCACTCCACAATAAGGTCCCTTAACAGGGAGATTAAAAATGTCAACAAGTGTTACGGCAAAAATTGCTGAGATGAAGGAGGACACAGATCAGACAGAGCTGCAAATGAATATATGTTATATATTGTAACATTAAACACGATTAGGCCAGATCTTATTCCACTATTAAATGAGTTAATGGACTTAGATACCCTCTTGTGATCCTAGTCCACCCTTCTCAAGTCCCTGAAAAAAAATGACTGTGCCTCCTTCTTTTGTCACCAGTCATCATCAAGACAAAGTCACAAAAACCAGTAAGCAGGATCAGGACCTCCTCATTGTTTGTGTTGTTTTTCAGGATGTAATGGGATCACATTTAGGATAGGATTTGTAGTCTCTGCCCAAGATTTTTTTTTAAGGATGGCCACTATCATCTTTCAAGATGACAGAGCCCAAATTCAGGTACCATACAGCCCTATATTACAAATGAAACCATAGGAGTCCTTGACCATTACTACTCTCATTACCATACATAGACCCAAAGAGAGCACACACCTGAATATATAGTTGATCTTTTTATTTTCTAGCACTGCTAAAGCTGAAGTCCATCTCCACAAGAGGTGGAAGGTGCATGTGTTGACCCAGCTGGGCGTTTGATTGGGAATTATGTTTGCAGGTATGTAGGTGGCTGGGAACCACTGTAGCCAGAGGAGAGAACTACATAAATGAATGGATGCAAGCATTTGTAGGGAGGGTCGAGAGCTCAGGTTCTTTTATCCAGGGCAGAATAACTCATGCCCCAACTGACCACTTCAGCTCTGCTTCACCTCCCTGGGGGTGGCTGAAGGGAGACTGGGAGGTGACAGCAACCTCTGCGTGTGGCAATGGGCATGAACGACACGTGCTCCCGGAGACTGGGGAGGCACGGCAATGGTGGCAGAGGAGGTGGAAGTGAGTGGGGAGCACCTGCAGGCAGCCGTGGCGGTGTCAGTGGGCAGAGAGGGGGTGGTGAGCACCAACCAGCCGTCAGTGATCACCTGCAGATGCCACCGCCAGCAGCAGCAGTGGTGGCCAGTGGTGATTGGTAACCACCTGCAGACACCGCCGACAGTGTCAGCAGCAAAAGGGGGTGGGTGGGCAATGGCGACCGCCTGCAGGAACCACCGTCAGCAGTGGCCAATTGCAGGGGGTGCACTGCCAATCTCAGGGGGTACATGTGCACCTGCATGCACCCCCTACACATCAGGGGCGCTCTTAGGATTGGTCCTGGTTTTTGGGTGCCTGGCAGGGTTTGATCTACGAATATGTGGCAGGCAGGGTGGCCATCATAGGGGACATTCCGGTTTTCTGCTACTGTGTCCTCTTTCGATACGAAACCCGACACCTTTATGTCCTCTTCAAGAGAAAAATAGAGGACATGAAGGCATCCGGTTTCGTATCGATAGAGGACAACCGGCCTGTCCTCGATGACGGCCACTCCAGTGGCAGGCCGTGCCACTGAAGAGCCGACAGCGTGCAAAAGCAGAGGGCAGGTGCGTGTGTGAGGGGGAAAGACTGTGGGGGCGGGGGTTAAGGAGCCGGCTGACAGCAGGGAAGCTGGGGTGGG